GGGCGCCTTTCTGTTGATGAAGAGGGTGCAACTGTAAAGTTCCTGGGATCCTCTGAGGCCTCTTCAATGATAATCACCATGATATTGCCAGATGTACCCGGTGATGAAGTATTGCCAGATGTACCCGGTGATGAAGTACCCCCAACAAGATCTCCTTGGGTGTCTCCTTGACCGTCACTACCTTGGGCTGTAGTTTCTGCCTCCTGTTCCTCATCCTCTTCTTCTTGGGCTTTGATGATGTTGGTGTTAAATTCCATCAAAAAGCCCAACGCGGTGGTGTTCTTTTCTTCCTCAGGTGAAGTCCCAATGGGACACAAGCACACATCCAAAGCCTGCTGGAGTTTCCTGCCGGAATCAGAGGTTGATCCTGGTACCATTCTTGCATCTTGGAAATGTGGTGGTAAAGCATCATTTCTGCTGTCCTCCAAAAGATTTCTTCGGAAAGCATCATCAAACAGATTGAACCCACCAGTATCTGTTACAGGGCAGTTCCTACATCTTCCTGTCACTTCAAAGAGCACTCTATCCCGCCTGTCGGTTGCAGATGTTGATTCTGTGCTATTAGTTGAATTGACCGGATGTGTTGAATCCCAAACCGTTGTACTGTTGCCATCTTCACCTTGCAATCGGCGAACAGATAGTTCCCTGGCAACAACCAAGCCCACATTGGAGACAACTCGGAAGAACTCATCACATGACTCAAAGGACAGGGTATTGTAGGTCTCCAAGAAAACATTTTCCAACGTCTTCTTGGTGTTTTCTGGCAGTGAAGATGCGTCAACCCCCAAGTCAGCATATACAAATGACTTGAATGGTCTAACCTCACCATCACACATAACAGGCTGGCCTTCTACAACAGTTTCTGGAACTGTTGAAACAGACTCTGCCTCTCCAGCTTCCTCCAATTCAGCAATCTCATCTCTGAACTCCATTGCAAACTCCCCAGAGCTTGGGCCTTCACCAATAACAGGTTCTTCTCCTGCAGGACAAACGCAAGTATTGTCATCCTGTTGTTGAAGCTTCCTATTTTTTGAATCTCCCAAAGCACCTCTTGGAATCTTCCTTGTCTGCAGCACCCGTCTTCGTCTAAAACTATCATCAAAGAGTCCAAATGTTCCAGTTTCTGTAACAGGGCAACCTCGACAAGTCCCTGTCACTGCAAACATTGTGGGAACAACTTCTCGGTGGCGCTGTTGCTCCTGCGGTGGCATAGTTGCATTGGTGGTAGCATTGAACCGGGTAGTGTTTGTGCTGTTTATTGCCATTTCTGCCAAGTCACGCTCAATCAGAATGTCCACCAATCTTCGACCTCGAACATCTCCAGTGAAAGAATCCAATACATCATTTGGAGCAATACGGAGCTCCACTTTGACGACAGCTCTGAAATGACCATCACAAGTTAGATAGGCCAACCGATTGTATGACTCTTGAAAGCTGCGCTCAAGGCTGGCTGCCTCTTCTGTGGTGAAGGATGTAATGTTGACTGTAAGGTCTGTAAAGACCACAGATTGGAAGTCTGTGGTCAAAGTCCCACAGGGCACAACATGTGCTTCTTGTACTTCTTGAGTAGATACTGTGGACTGTACAAGTCCACCTTGCTGTAGATCTGCCAGCCAAGAATTGTAGGAGTACATGAAATCAGCTTCACTCAATGAGAGCCTATCTCTGTCAGCGGCCTCATTTTTCAGAGGACACAAACACTTCTTGTCGTTTTGTTGTAAACCTTGACCAAGAAAGCCATCTTGTAATCCAAATGGACTGCTCCTGTTTTCCTGTCCTGGTAGCTCCTCCCTCTGGGCTGCTGGATCAAACAGGATGAAGGTCCCTGAATCACTGACAAGACAATCTCGACACTGCCCCTCAACGCGGAAGGTAGCCTGTGTAGTTTCAAAGGGCCTGATTGTGGGACTGGTGGTGGGTGCCCATGATGGCTCCAAAGAGAGAGAGCCAGTGGCATTGTTTCTATGGAAGTTTTCATTGTCAAATGGAGTACCGATCCAAGAGATTTTTTCCAAGTCATTGGGTATTTCGTCACTCTGTGGTTGGAACTCAATATCCAACCTGACGTTGCTGATGGTTCGAAAATGTGGATCACAACTCCGAAAGCTGAGACGATTGTAGGTCTCTGCGAAGGATGCTTCCAAGGCTTCAATCTCTTCCTCGGACGGCCTGGTATCCCTGATCAGGTTGAGGTTGGCAAAGACTAGGGAGTTGAAGGTTTGAATATCTTCAGAACAAGCGAACGACTGGAGTTCCACCAGCCTGGTGGTAGTGAGCGGAGTTGCAAGATTCAATTCGCGGAGAAATGTCTCTTGAAAGAGAAGATTTGAATCTGGAGCGGCATCCGCTGGGCATAAGCAATCAGTGGTAGAATGCCATGACAGTTCTTCTGCGGTAAGTTGCTTTGCCACTGCTGCTGCTGTAAGTCCAGTAGTGTTACCGGAATAAAATGGAAATAGTGGCAGCGACTTGGTACAGTTGTAGCACTCTGCGGTAACTCCCAGTGTCAAAATGGAACCCCTGTTTCCCTCTTGTGTGGCGGCAATTTTGACAGACTGGATGGTACGAAAATGTGGAATGTCGCAGGAGAGGAAGCTTTGTTGGTTATAGATTGCTTGAAATGTTTCTTCCAAACCTTCTAGCTGCCAGGATATCCTTTCAACATTGTCCACAGTGTAGAGAACGAGTGTTCGTTTGAGTGTGGTTGTCCCCTGTGGAGGGCACACATATTGGTCCGCAGGAACAAGGCCTTCTGCCGATTGCAGTGTCAGTGGTGCCAATGCCAAGAGTATGGCGGCAACTAGTCGTCGAAGAACCCGTACACTGCTGCCGATAGGCATTCGTCTTCGGAATGCGACGATCGACTCGTTGTGGCTTTCGGGTCGAAATGCGACGACAAAGTTGTTTGCGACAACTCCTGTTTGCTTTGGAACACGACGACAACGACCCCTTCGCCTTTGAAAACTATCTTCGTCTCTTCTTTGCCTAAACTTGGCCCTTGCTGACTTCCGTACTCTAAAATCGCCTTGTTGAAATGCTCGTGGTCGTCCGACCGAAAAGAATGAACATGAGGAACGTTGCTTTTTCTAAGAGCGTTGCGCCCAATTTTTTGTCCACAATAATAATATGGTCATAATGTGGTGCCACTCACCCGCTATTAGCTAGTTACGGGTACCGGTACATGTAGCGGTACGGTAAAGAAGTACCGCACGGCATTGGTGTGACGCCTCCCTCAACTTTAAGCAAGTTCTCAACTCAAGGATACCGGGCCTTTGGTTGGTCGTCAGTTATTACACCCTGCATCTGTGCAAAGGATAGTGAGAGGAGGAAGGTCCAAATCATAAAAAAATGCTTTTCGTGGCGCAGTAGTACTACGGTATCTTTGCTCCTCTGTGAGAGGGGAATGATGATGCAACTGGGGTGCACTTTGGCTGGGGTTGGGTTCGTGTGGCTGATGGTCCTGTCGGTAGTACCACCGCCAGGACCAGCCACAATTGGTTCCTGGCTGGAGTTGGTCTGAGAGGGGGATCTGATAATGGACATGGATTAGGTTCAGGTGTACGGTAGGTAGGTCTTGGCGTGCGGCTTGGTCCAGGAGTGGGGGCAGGTGCTGGTCCTCCTGGAAGCGCCGGATCACCGCTCCCGTGATGTTCTACAGTACTAGCTAGCTAGCCAGAGTGACAAAATCGATAATTTTAGAAAACCGTACAGTAAACACTCACTAAAGTACCACCCCCCAGCATTAAGAAAAATACGGAACTTTGTATGGTTGGAGCCCATATCAGCCCGTTCGTGGTATCGCGATCGGAGCCTATCTGGGGTGGTCTCTGTTGAGTTCTCTTGTTGTTGGGGGTAAAATGAGATAAGCGGTCTTGGGGTGGAACTGCTTTGCTCCTATGTATGGTGTCTGTATTGTCTTCGACCAGTAGAACATGCTATGTGGCTAGTTTCGAGCTCTCTAAGATGCCTGTCATGAAAGATTGATGAAGAAACTTCATATATATAAATGAACAATCTGAATGCTGGAGCGTTCCGCAATCGTGCTTTTAGGGCAGAGTTCGCGGAAACCATGCCCTAAATTAGGGCAGAGTTTCAAACTCTGCCCTAAATCTTGGCCGGATTCATAGTGTTTACCACGCAGTCCCGTTTCGATTTAGGGTAGAGTTTGAGACTCTGCCCTAAGTTTGAAAGCCCTAATTTAGGGCAGAGTTTCAAACCATGCCCTAATTTAGGGCATGGTTTCAAACTCTACCCTATTATTTAGGGCAGAGTTCCCGAACTCTGCCCTATTTCGAAACCCTACCCTAAATCCGGGATTCCAGAATGAGGCACGCTCCTGGGTACCACTGTCTCAAACTGCCACAAAGCACATTCACTTGTCAGTCATGAGAACTAGTGACTCAGGGGGGGCAGCCCTGAAAAAGAGGAACTCTGTAGAGTAGATCTAATGGAACTTAAGAAAAGGAACTTTTAAAAGTAAGTGGGAGCTTTCAAAGGTAGTTGAATGGATTGGCGGATGAGAAGAAGTCATGGGGCTTAAATAAATTTAACTGCCACTCTTGGCTCAACGGGCCAAGAGTGGCCCTCAACGCACAAGGAACCCGGAAAACCAAGTCAAATGCCTACCCTCGTTGCCTTACGGGCGAGGCAATCGATTTGGAGATCTTACTTAACGGAATGTTCACCTTCTCTAAATCTTCAATCAAGTAAGTCAACGCAACCACATGGTTTCTGGGGACTTGTTGAATTAATTGATTAGGGTCATTATTGATATTTTGCTCTACTTATAAGTCTCTAACGGCTCGTCGGTTAAATCTACTCATCTACCCAATCCATTCAACTACCTTTCTGAAAGCCCCCAGTGAGTGTTGACTGTACCAGCATCGGCCCTGTACGGGCCTCAATATTTAGAACATTTATACCTCAGTGTTCAGAAAGCACGAACCTCAAGAAATTGACAGCTGTGCGACCTTTTGATGGTTAGATTCAACTGTGCGACCTCCAAAGAGGAAAGGAACGCAAAAACTTGAAGCATCTCCGAATCCTTTCCCCCCAGAGGCAAAATTTGGATACTTAGAAGCTAAATTTGTCGACTCATTGGATATCCTTAAGTACTGAAAACCAGATTGACGCAAGAGAATCGCCGCCACCCCGGTACGCTCATTTTTTCGTCGAAGAAACAAGATTTGCTGGCTCATATTCCACATATATACATGTATTACCCTCATTTATGTGAGTGTGCGGTGTGATGTGTGATGTGTGGTGCGTACCACTCTACGGAATTCAATAGGTAACCAGAACGTAATTTCCAACACTTGGCAAACAGCAGATCGGAACATCTGCTGTCCATTGAATGCGTTCTATTCTATTCATTCTATTGCAGCAATTACACTGCGCTAGCTGCCATGCCACCAAAATTGTCAAGCCTAAAAAGAACAGTTGCCTTTCTAAATTTGTCTTGAGAGCTGCATGCTCGAGTGCGTTATTACGGGAGGAAGAGCAAAAAGGCAGCAATTTGGATTTTGGATGCATGTGTGACGCCGACAGATCTCTCGTATCCATCCAACCTGGGACTTGAGTACTAACATCACTCACTACAACGCTAGCCAACTGGTAGCTAGTAGAGCATCTGGGCAGTAGCGCATCAGCAAGCAAGCAACTAACTAACCAACCAACCAGAGGCGCCTCCGGCTGCCCGCTTTGAATGTGACTTGTTCCTCTTGGATTTTGTCCATGAACAGCTAGCTAGCTAGACCAGCCACACACAACACACAACACACAGACACCTACCTTCATTCATTCTCTCTCCTTCATTCATTTCTCTCTCGAACGCACCATCCATCATGCCGACCACCCAGAGCGTCAAGGCGCGGCTTCGTTCCGCTCGAGAACGACGAACCAAAAAGATCCATAGTAGTAGCAGCAGTAGCAACAAGAATCCTCCCGAGGGAGTCGACGCCATCTTGTGGGACGCCATGTATCCCCATGGAACAGGACCGTCTTCATCCTCCGCTTCCAACGAAAGCAAGCGATCGTCTTCTCCCGACGATGATCGATCCACAACTTCCACCTACTCTGGAACCAGCAGCCACAGCAAGCCCTCTGTCACGTCTTCCTTTACTTCCAACACAACGACCACGACTGCCCTCTGCCAACTCCTCTGGGCCCGCCAGTGGGAAGCGTCTCTCCAACTATTGCTGCAAGGCAACCGCCAGCAAGTCCAACAATGGTGTCCGCTGCCCTGTTTTGGACAAAACGCCACTGGATTGCCACTCCATCTCGTATGTGCCATGAGACCCTTGCCTCCGGTCGAAATCGTACGGACCATCCTGCAAAAGTACCCAGAAGCCGCACAACAAAAAGCCAGCATGTGGGGGCTCGTGCCACTCCATCTCGCGGTCGATCTACGCAGCAGCGGCGGAACAACAACCAAAAAGCAAACGACCACCAAGCTGAGCAGCCTCAAATCCAAGGCGGCCGCTGTGGTAGGATGGTCTTCCCATACCAACAAGATGGTACAACCGCAAAAGAATCATCATCATCAACGCGGTAGTGACATTGTACCCGCCGTGGCATCTTCCGACTCGTCATCATCCTTCTCCTCTTCGACGTCCATTACAAGTCACAATATCGACGACAATCTATCTTCTCTGGGCAGCTCTGCTTCTTCCACCGCACACCAACAACACCCACAATCACAAGAAGATGACATGACCAATCACAGTCGCATCATTGTCTTGCTCTTGGACGTTGCCCCGCAAGCTCTCACCATGGCGGAAGAATTCCACGGCATGTTACCCTTGCACATTGCCGTCTCGAGTACTCCGGCGCAAGGAGGACGGGTCCCTCCTCATGCAGCGCAGATTCTACAATTGCTCGCGACTACTTGTCCCGCGACCTTGCACACACCGGATCATGCCGGCGATACGCCCGTCAAAATGGCTCAACGCGGTCACGGCGCGACAACATCCGATCCGAGCGGCAGCAGCAGTCGCAACAGCGGCAGTCACACGACGAGTACAGTACTGTCTCCTCAAACAACACAACTACAAATGGTGTCGCATTTGCCCGATTGGAAGTGGAATCCCATCTTGTATCCCAATAATCAAGATCAGACTGACGTGATTGTCCACAACAACAATAGCAATAGTACCAGTGGTGCAATCAAGCCCAGCAAGAATCAAAAGATTGCCTCCTTGCTAGTGGGATCTTTGGACGATCTCATTTCCACATCGTCGTCGTCGTCATCCTCCTCCTCAGCATCATCCTCGTCATCGGGAGATGATGCGAATACCGACAATGGCATATTCATGCCCACGCCAGGCAACTCCTCCTCGTCATCCTCGGCAGCCTCGTTGTCGGACAATGACGATTTGAGTCATGAAATCCAACAGTTGCATTCGTACGAATCGGACTTGCGAAAGGAACTGGAAGAATCCATTCGATTGCATTGTCCCATTCCAGTATTTCAACATGACAACAACAAAGCCATCCACTCCAGTCAACCAGTCCAGGATGGAAGCAAGGTCACGGCCGATACAGAGACGACCATGACAGCGTCCTATGATGACGATGTCTCCTCCTCCATGCACTTGTTCCGAGATGATGGCGATGATGATGACGACGAGTCCATGGCCATGGTGATGATGACCATGACTAGTAGTAGTATCAGTGCCGTTAGTAGTAGTAACGAGGAAGAAGAAGAAGCAACAGCTGCGGACAGCATTCGCACCACGGCTCTGTATTCGGTGGGCTGCGACAGTTTGATTACGACCGCTACTGCTTCCTATCACGATGTGGTTACGACTGCCAGCTTGGACCAAGACTTGGAAGACTTGGAAAGCAATCTTCGCCACGAGCTCAAAACGGCCAAGAGCTATGCGTCCTTTTTACGATATTCGTTTGAGAACGGAGCAGCTGGCCACGAGCGCACCACTGCTAGTGTCCCTATCGAGGAGACGCTCGACGACAAGTTGGCTGTACAGGAAGCAACAACAACAACGACGACGACTCCGGATGTCCAAGCGGTTGCAGACAGTAGCACTGACAAGGCAGGTCATGATGCAAACAAGAATACACCAATGATGCGTCAAGGCGAGAATCCTTGTGTGGCAGTTGTGCCCGAGAGAAAAGATCCAGCCAGCGAAGAACTCGTACCGGTTGCACTCCCAAACATCTCAAACTCAGAATTTTCCATCGCCGGGACGTCAGGCGAGGAGGAGCAGGAACATCAGGGTGCCGACAAAGAAGGTTGCCGTGCGGCTGTCGAGGATCCGTCACAAACGGCCAACAAAGAAGATTGCCGTGACAATGAAGACGACGAATCAAATTCTGCCGATTGGAAACTGACAATGTCCTTTGCTCTTACGCGCCAGAACGCCATGCCTGCAATGATTGTTCCAGACAACGACGACGTCTGGGACGAGATTCCTTTGTCAGAAAGCGCCAAGAGCAGTGCGGTCCCGCTGGATGATGGTGATACTGCGAAAGAGGATCCAGTGCAAGACTTTCGCCGCCACGATAAAATTTTCCGTGATAAGGAAGAGCCGATGGTGCAAAGCATGCGAATGCCGCCCAGAAAAGCCAAGTCAGAGCTTCCGGTGTCCAGGGATAACTTCCCCAGTATCTTTTATGGTCTTCCATCCATCCAGGAGGCAAACTCGCAGGTCGAAAATGAAGAGGCTGATGCTGCCGGAAGGTCTCCAATCGAAGTGCCACCAGAGTCACATCTCGTCGAAGCTTGCAAACATACTGGTGACAACAGAGTCATGCCTTCCATCCAAGAACACCAAGATGTCAGAACTCCCCCATCGAGGCCCGAGGACCTTGATGGAGCCGATGACGAACGACCACTGGAACTCGAAGAGTTGCAAGAGTCCGAAGAGAAGGTAGGAAAGGACAACCGGCTTCACGGTGCCGAGCAACATGATGCCAAAGGACAACCCGAGCAACTGGCAGGCGTTGAGACTTCACGGGGCTCGAAGGCAGACCACAACGAATGCGATCAGGTGAATACTGACATCGAAGCGGTCAACGCCGTCGAAAGCGTTGAAGCCAAATCATGCTCCCATGATCTCGTATATCCACCCAATGCCGAGGCTGTGCTAGACGACGATGGCGACGTACTCATCGTGTGGGAAAGGATAGCGGCTGTCGCTCCTTCGCTTGGTTCCTTGAAGCTTTCTATCGAGGAACACAAAATCGTTTCGGAGAGTTGCTGTTCTTCAGCAGTGCTGATACAACCAACCAGATTTCCTACTACCGGTACTACTACTACTACTCATCTGGACAGGCAGGATCCGCAACCAGTTTTCAAGACCCCTACTCCTGAAGCAAAGAAGGCGTTGATCAAGCAGGAACAGTCGCAGACTGAACCAGAGCGGGCCGAGGCCAACTGTTCTTCCTTGTCACCTCCGTTGCTTGCTAAGGCAACTTCTGCTGATGGTCTTGCAGCCGAAGTATCAGTCAATACACCGCCAAAGAGTGGCGTTCAATGTGCTTCGAACAATCTTACCCAATTGACCGAAGAGCTACAAAGATTGCAGGCCGAGAACGAGTCCCACATACTCGAGATGGAACGCCTGAAGAAGAGAGTATCCATCATTACGGAGATCAAGGGAGTGAACTACGAAGACCTTCGAAGGGCACTTCAAGATGTATGCAAGCAAGACAAGTCTAGCAGAAGCACAGCTTCTTCTGTCAGTAGCCCCCTCTCAGCTCTGGACGTTTTGGATGAATGGCACCAAGAACTAAACGCAGATGCAGAGGAAGGTGTTGCCCACCCGTTTGATGAACAACGTTGCCCCTCGACACCAAGCCTTAGCCCTCCTCGAATCATCAAGACAAACGATGGCATTGGCAGGTGGTTCAATACCAGTCCTTGCAACCCTGACGATGCGTTGCCAGTATCTGAAAATCAAGCACAACATCAGGATCGCTTTCCTGACACATGTGAGGCAGTCCTAGATCTTGAAGGCAGCTTGGGAGATTGGTGCGATGAGCTGCTCGCTGAGTTGGCTGCAACTGGTGGACGAAAGGACGCAAGCAGGCAGAGCGGCATTGAGCCTCAAGACGAGCACCTGGCCAATGGACTCAAGTGCCATCCGAAATCGGACACGCTCAAGTTGTACCAGTCGGAAACAAGCACGAGTGATTCTTGTGTTCCAACGAAGAGGAGTCATGCGACACCCCAAGACAAAGCAACCTGCAACAAGGAAGGTCAGGTGCGGGGCAAGTTTTTGGACGAACAGGACCGCAATCTTGGGCAACACTTGGGTTCCCTGCTGTCGAGCGATTCGGAGCTCTCGGAAAGCTCACCGTTGCAAATCCTCGAGCTGGACAATGGTTCTGATGAGAGAGAAGCAGGTTCTAGCTCAGTTTCGTTTGAGGACGAGCCATCAGTGAAAAACTGCTCCGAGGAACAATCGTGCCAAAATCAAGCCAAGGCGAAAGCAGCAGACACACTTGAGCACGATCAGTCACAAGGACAACCAGAACCCATGCAGGTGGCGTGGCGGTACTCTGATGCCATTAAAATCCTCGATGCAATTGAAGAGGAGAGCTTTGTCTCCAGCTCTATCGTCAGTCTCGAAATCGCTCCAGAAGACAAACCTAGAGCCACGCAGCAGTCTGAAGAAGCAGGTCAACCCCCGCAGCACTCGTTGCTTGCGGACACGGAAGGAACTCGAGCGCTCTTGGACGAGGACGAAACAATTGACGAGGAGGAATCTTTCGCGCAACAGGTAACCGCAGAGGATGAAGAAGCAACTTCGTCGCAACCTGCGACACCCCAAGATGAGGAAGAGTTCCCGGTAGTACGCGAGGTGGACGCTTTTCAGCTGGAACAAACGAATCTTGATGACGAGGAAGAAAAGAGTAAAAGAAAGCGGCGACTTCGAGAGCTTGTCCAATGTCGCAAGAGCCAGAGACCTTTTCTGGACGCGGAAGAGGTAATCAAGAAACTGTTCCCCACAAACCTCGAAAACCCGAACACGATATATCGGGTGGATTTGTTGGATCAGACATTTGAGGATATCTGGAAGTGTGCGCTGGAACAAACTGGAAGTGATGTCTTCTCGCCACCTTCAAAAGACGAAATCGCATCATCCATTATCATTTATGATCCACGATGTTTGGCTCAGGCAATAAGCTCGCAGAAGATGTTTGTTCTTTCGGGTGCCATGGAGGAAATTGTGGTCAACGATTTAGCGAACGACTTGATGGAGGAAGAGTCGTCTTCGAGCGACACCTCTGGAATCGTTGCTTCGATCGGTAAGCCGAAACGAGCAATGATATCTCTCAATGACGAGCATGCTTCACAAGATAGAGACTTCCGCTCCAGTACTCCCGAAGAGACAACACCTCCCATTGGGTGCTGTGCGTTGGACTTGGGTGATCTTTGGGCATGCATTGAAGCCACAGATGCGGCACTGGCAAAGGTGGGAAAGATGGCGGAAGAGGCACAAAAAACATGCAACCGCTTGTTTGGCTGTGGAGGCAAGTCGGAACCCCAAGTGAGCCCTTCGTCCATGGCCGCTTCGACGCGAAGGGAGCAAGAGAACCTGGCTGCATGCAACGCTCAACTTCGAAGCAAGCGGCGAAATCTAGACGAAAAAAGCGTCTCTGCTGGGCTTTTGTCGTTCATGGACCAACTGATTGATGACGTGGAGGAGACAATCTTTGGCCTCTCCCGCTATAGCGACACACTCTCTAGACGTGAGAAAAGGATCAGCAGCCGCCAAGAAGTCGAGACACAGTCGAAAGTTGACAAATTCGGACGAAAAGACGATGAAACTGTGACAGAAGTTGGATTGTTCGAACTGGGAGCCTTTGGCAGCAGAATCCCCATTGTTGTTAGGTCCAGCAAGACCTCTTCTGTTGGAGGCAGTACCATTACCGATCTTTCTATCAAAAGATCGGGGTGGCTTTAGGGCGCGGTGGATGTACATGCGCATTGCAGCGACCATCCAAGGAGCGACAAACTTTCTCCAACGCACTTGCATGAAACTCTCCAATTCCCAAGATGTCAGGCATCCTATCCTGGTGGGTTCTTTCATGTTTCCCCACTTGTACACGCTCCATGCAGTCTCCATGTGAATTCCTTCGCCACGACCCTGCGTTTCAGACTTGGAGGAATACCATCCAAGTCGATGACTTCGACAACACAGCAACCGACCAGAAACGAGATAGATATAGAATGATACATTTTGTGGGTTTTATGATTCATTTAGTACAACAGCTTCTTGTATTCTATTCGTCTGGACTTTGTGCCACTTGAGCACTACGGTAGTACCGGTAGTAGTTGAGGCATTGGGAGGGCGCTTTGGGGTGGTGTTACCATGTTGCTATGCCCAGCTAGCCGTCTGAGGATTCTTGAGTGTCAAGGCTGGCACGGACGCGACCCTCGGCGGCAGGCAGTATGTCACAAAATGATGATCGAAAGCCAAAGTGAATCAAGCGACCTCTTCCAGAGGATGCATGCGTGATGTTCATTGCGGAATCTGTACCATACCGGTGCGTCTACGGTACACTGCAAGGGAGAACCATTCCTCTCTTCTCCGAGGACATGACCGAATTCCTTTGCTTGTGTATCCCTTGTTGTGACAGTGCTGGTCTACTGTACCGGTAGCATGGCTTGTAGCCATCGTCACCAACAACGCCACGGCAAGCCACCAGAAACGAGATATAGAAAGAAATGAAAGGTGTTTTGATTGATTTAGAAAGTAACGTACATGTATGTTTGCCAGTATGTATTGTAGATTGACTTTTTGCGTGCGGACATGGAGTGTTGCTGTTGGTGATAAACACGCGCAAACAAGAGATCTGATGCATGCATGAATGAATGAACGAATCAACGAGCTGTCCCTGTCTCGTGTTGTTGTTGTTGTCACACCTGCACCAATTTGGCCAAGTAGCGGGCTCTTCGATTCTGTTCCATGGCATCCACACATTCTGGATCGAGAAACTGCGACAATTCGGTGGGTGGTGGTGCATCGGCACTATCGACCCCATGGACCAATTCGACCGTTTCGGAAATGGATGTGGGCAACCATCCCTTGAGTCTGTCAAAGACATAGTACAGAGCAAAGGGTACCGGATACACGACGAGCCGCTGTAGTTGACCGGGAAAGAGTTTGTCCATGGCGGAAGCAATGAGTTGTACGGAAGGCAATATGACAAAGACGTTGTGATTGGGCCATCCTCGTCCTTGTCGGCAATCAATCAAGCAGGTAAAGCCATTCTTGATGTGCAATTTCTTGCGCTCAAGATACAAGACAATGGCAGTCACATGGACTTCCGGGGAAGCACCCGTGGTGGAATCGAGATTGATCAAGGGTGGGACGACATGGACAAAGGGGGTTCCATTCTTGGTGAGAGCCGGACTGCCATCCTTCGTTTGGCACATGAAACAAGACTGTGGAATGGACTCCAAATGACAGTACCGATGGTCCCCACAGCCTTCCAATCCAGGAATCAATTCTTCGTTATGCTTGGACGCTTCCAGGGCTGTTTGCGAAGCCCATTCCCAATCGGCTTGGTCGTCGGCATCCTGTTGGGCTTGCAAGAAGGCCGGGGAATCAATCTCGTACATGGCCCGAAACAAAACTCGTTCTTCTAGCATTTTCACACATTGGTCATCATTGTGATGAAAATGGCGACGAAACGCGTCTCGTTCCTCTTGGGAGATGCTGGGAAAGCGGGCGCTCAATCCCAACACATCCTCGTCCTCTGCATGTGCTTGTTCCGATTCACTCGCCGTATCTTCGTCGTCGTCATGCACCTTGTGGTAGTGGTGGATAGTTGTATCTTCTTCTTCTTCCTCTTCTTCACCTTCAAAGAGGGACGATACCGAAGTACCCAAGAGAGAGTCCGCCAACGACATCATCTTGCGAGTACTGACTGCATCTACAAATCAAGAAGTCTGCTATCAAAGTTGCTTGTTACTTGCACTTGCGATCTTTCTTGAGTTCACACTCGGAAGCGAACCTCCAAAGGTCGCCAAAAAGTGATGCCAGGAGGAGGGTGACGTATCGTGGAGGCTCAGCGTGGATAGTGACATCGAACGTCGCGAATGATCATTTTGCCACCTCTCTGCTGGCAATCCACAACATCCGTCTTGAGTGGAGGGGAAGTGCTGGCCAGGTGCCACCAGCTAATAAAAGTTTCACGGTACGTGCAGCCACTTTGACGAAGCATCCAATTCAACAAAGGTCATTGCGAGTGGCCCAGCCAACATCACCGGGCACAAGAGGGGGTACGAGGATAAGTCAAGTTGTTTCCAAATACTATCCGATTATAGTACTTTTTAGATTATGACATGTAATAGTGAACCCAGAAGCTCGCTGTTGGGAGCAACAGCGAGGATTTGCGCCGTGAATTAATCCCCCCGTGGTACCAGTATCCAGTCATACCGGTGCCTTTTTTTGTTTTGTTTTCCTTTTTCTTGTATGTATTTCCTTGTTTGTAGTGTATAGTTTGTATTCCCCCCAGAACGATAATAATAGTAATCGACAGACACGCGCCCAATGGCATTCCGTTTCGTTTGTCCCGTGCCAACCTCTTTCTTTTTGACGATCTTGCTTCCTTCCTTACGACATCATACCACTGAATCCAAAATGAGCTCCATCCTCGCGCAGCAATTCCAAGAACATTTCTTCTTCGTCCGGGTCTTCTTCTTCTTCCGAGTCCTGGCCGACGGGAAGCCCCGGTCCGTAGTTCAACTCGAACTCCTCCGTCATGGGCAAGAGGGAATCCGGAATGGCCTCGAATTTGCCAAACCCAAAGGCGGGAGATTCGGGTCGCGGAGTTCCGTTGTTGCCGGAAGAAGAAGTGGCCAACAAAGACCCCAATGGAGTGGGAGAATCCGGAGGAATGTGGTGGTTGCTGCTGCCCTTGCCGCCGACGAACCAAAGAGGAGGAGAGTCTGGTCTGGTTGTAGAACCCTTGTTGTTGCCAAACCAGACGGGAGAGCCAGATCGACTGCTGCTGGGTGTCTTGTTGCTGTTGCTGTCATCATCATCCACAGGATGATGGATCAGTCCCATCATGGCATTGTCCAAGTTGGATGCGGCTTCCACGACGTCGTCTTCCCAGGAAGCATCTTGCTTGCTGTTGGCGTCGTTGTTAGAGTGGTCCGTCATCGTGCCCAAATAGTCTCTAACAACAGGTCCATCCAGCGCCGCCCCGTCCTTGAGCAGCTCCATGTACCCATGAAAAGCATTCATGGAACTGGCCATGGCATCTCGAAGGAGGACACTGTCTTGAAGTTCCGCCTTTTCTTCGTCTTGAGGTTTCATGGTCTGTTCCATGGTCGCTTCTTCGTCTTGCTGCTGCTCCTTGCTCATAGTAGTGGTCATGTCTTGGTCCTCCTCCTCCTCATCACCACCCAGAGTGACTACCCTCTTGGCCTTGAGTGGTTCTGTCGCTACTGCTGCTGCTTCTTGTTCATAGAGAGTCGCCAAGGTGACAGACACACGGGGCTCGCCTTGGGCCTTCTTCAGATTGCCCGGTTTAGTGCGAGGCTCCAACAGTCCCTGCTTGGTCATGCGCTTCATCCGATCTCGCAGTGCTTGCTGGATTTTGCGTTGAATTTCCACAAAATTCTTCTTGTCGCAAGGCAACAGTTCACGGTAGTTATAGTCCAATGGATCCTTGTTGTCCACCTTGTACTCGTTATCATCGTCACTGTCACTGTCCTTGTTGTCAATCAATTCGCGAGGTTCAATCATGAGAAAGCGACCCCCTTCGTGGCGGATGCGTTCGATAAAGTGATTCTTGATGTAATCGCGTTTGGCCTTGGTGTTGGTGGGAGGAATGGCACGGTAATCCATCACGTGATCGTCCAATAACTTGGGGTACAACGAGATCTTGCGCAAATCGTTCGCCTTGTGACCACATCCAAAGAGAACATCCAACGGAGTGGGCTTGATAATATTGTTGTTGTCTGTTGCGACACTACCTTCTTCACTGCCATTGTCGGCAACGACAATAGTGGGTGCTGGTGTTTTCTTCAGTGTCTTCTTCCTCTTTCGCTGCTTCTCCTTCTCGGGTGTAATGACAGCCGAGGGGACTGCGTCGGGTTCAGGGGAAGACTCCAATTGGGTATTGTTGGACGCAGCCTCTTGTTTGCGGCGGCGGCGGGTGGAAACGGCCATGGTTGGTTATGTATGTAAATGTAATTGATGCGAAAGATGTGGATTGGAATGCTCCCCCCAGACAGAGCATACACGACGAAGGTCGAATTATGAGAGTGGAACAACAACCAACTGGATACTCCCTTCTTGCTTCTGAGCCACACAAAAAAAGATTTTTGCTGCTTTGCTGGCAAGATTGCTCTACCGTACCGCAGTACCATACGGTACCAGTACATGCACATGTGGACGCAGCTGACAAAAGTGACCAGAAAACCGAGAACCCTGCCAACTGCTGCTCTGAAGTTTGTACGGTTCGGGAGGAATCATAAGTGAATTTGTGCTTCAATCCTGTGGGTTGTTTAAGAAAGCGGATAAGTAAACTTTGAAAAGCACATTGCGAACCAGTGCGAGCACAGATGCCTCGTGGCTTGCCAGCTGCCATGACCCTGCCAATAAGCAACCAGACGTATTTGTGTGTCCGATACATGTGGATGTGGAACAACCTGTCCAAAGTGCTGGAGCTGTTCATGGATCAGCTTGTCGGTGAACAATCGGCGACCAATCAAAGATCAGAGAAGCAGTAGTCGTGGGTTGTTGAAGGAGGTCCAAGGAGCAAGCTCGTGTCTTTTGCAGTTAGTTGTTCATCCAGAGTCTGAAATTCAGTACAGCAAAGTCACTGTTGGAAATCGGAGTTTATTGGGACCGCATTTATTGCCCAACAGCAAGCTTCTTTTCGGCAACACAGTCTACTCTGATGGTCACAGTTGGGATTGAAGCTTGTGGCATTGGGTGCGTTGTTGGTTCTTTTCAAGTGTGCCATATCCTGTCAGCAGCAGTGTGATTCGATTCGCTTCTTTGCTTCTCGTAGCAGCTGGGAGGTTCTCTTGTAGAATGAAAAAGATATCGTACATGTGGCCATGCCAAACGAACGTGTAGCCTGTGCGCTGCTGGCTGCAGTCCAAAAGGATAGACATGTCAATTGCGAAGGCGTGTGGGTTCCAGCTACATGCATGTAGATGCTCTTTCCTAGCCAGCTAGCTTGCTGCAGCTAGCCAGTTGTTAGCAGCTCTCCTCATCTAGGCAGGCGTCTTGCTTGGCCATGATGGGCCATGGGATGGGCGGAAGTGATGGCAAAAAGTGATGCTGGAAAGAAGAATGCTGATATTGGATTGTACTAGGCAGCCCATCGGAGGAGGTGCATTGCAGTGTACTAGGCGGGTTTTCACTTTTTCTTTCATGGTGTCCAGACTGCCTGTCTTGTAGAAAAAATTCTCCCTTCGTAGTTTCTTCTGCTCCCTTCTGGCTTTTCATCCAATGTCTCGCTGCAAAGCGATGTAGAATGCATGGATGCGAAGGCAGCCAAAACGCATTTCTGGCGTGGATGTTTCCTCATGGAGACTGACAGTGGTGCCTCAATCAGCCAGCCATTGCAGCCCACGGGGGTTTCTTGTACCGTATGCCCCTTGCTCCAAGACTCTTTCCAAAGCTGGCCTCCTTTGCTTGTTTGTCTCGTTGCTTGCTTGCTTTGCAGATGGTGATTGTCGTGTATTGCTTGTCGCTGGCTGAATCGAATCGAATCGAATCAAATCAAATCATCTCGTCGATGCATTGGCAATGTTGAGGAGAGACTTGACTGTCACTCGCATCGACTTGATCATCATCTATCACTCTAATGATCACCATGATCAGCTTGGCATTGCTTGCCTCCAATTCTGGCCCAATGATCGCATCGAATTCATGCTATCAATCATCTGATCTACCAGCCCGCTGTGCAGCAGTCCACGGGCCGTCGTTCTATTCTCTCCTACAGCTAGATGGATGAAGATGAAGTCTTCTCATCATACGGTACGGCATCAGTAATAAAGGGCATTGTTGGATACAAGTAAGTACAGTATGATATTTGAACTGAACCAACATGGACCTTGGTTGAAACTGAGGTTTTTATGCGAAAGAAGGGAGGAGGACTTCCAGGTTTTCCCGTAGAATTTTCTGTAGAGTTTGTACCAAAAAACCGGAACAATAGATACGCCTATTCAAAATGAGAAATGTGTGAATTGAATAGAGTAATTATCTTCAAGAACACAAAAATATGATTGATAATTTCCTATTCCTTCTTCCTGGAGGGCAACAACCAAGCGCTACCACCGTTTCCACCGTACGGCCTCTTTACCACGCTTTTATGAGAAAGAGGGCAGGAGGCTCTCTAGTGCCTCGCAGTTTCCCGCGGATGGAGGTAGTCACGGTGCGGACCCCATCCGTGTTACTTTGACGGTGTCAGAGATAGTAACCATGGCTAAAATGAAGGATAGGACAATACAGTCTTTTGATCTACTATATATAAAGTGTTGATCGGCGCAATCAGTTTTTGAATAGACGCCATGGTCGTCGCATACGGAGCAGCTTTGAATCGAGGATCGTGTCAGTTGATTTGCACAAAAATCCTGAATCCGCGGAATGAGAACCTATAGTAAAACAGTACAAAACAACTCATTCCGAGGACCAATGAGGACCGATAGTCCGCCAACCTCAAATGGTCACCATGTTGTTTGTGTTGGGCCTGCTATTGACCAACTCTGCTGCGGCTTTCATCTTTTCTTCAAAGAGAGCGCCGACTGCCTTGCCATTGCCATTGTTGCGTGTGTCATGGATCGTTGTGACCTGCAGAGACGTCATGCCAGTCAAGTTGTCAACAAAGGAAACGTAGGTGCAACGTCCTCGAATGGTGGAAGCGTTGCCACTCTTAGCTTTCTTTGTGTTGACAGTCCACTTAATACCATCTGGAAGAAGCAGAGCACCCATGAGCCGATCGCCTTGCATGTTTCCTCCACCATCAGCCCGAGGAATCACTTCATGACCATCAATCAACAGACGGAAGAGACTGGAAGATCCGTATTGCTGGACAACAAGAAGGCCCTGTACCCGCTTGTTGAATAGAGAGGAGGCCACGCGGACCACAACCGTCACATCTTCGGATTCCTCATCAAAGCAGAAAACATCAGTCCACTCAACATCATGTCCAAGAAGGAAGCAACAGGCCGAACGGACCACGCCTACAAGCAGAAGGAAAGATGAGTAAATCCGAGCAATTGAACTGGAAACGCGAGAGCGAATCCAGTAAAGCCAAGCCTCCAAAAGGAGGACGAAGGAGCAGATGGAAGTGTTCATGGTGAGATGGAGAAGAGTTGGACGGATAGACCAAACAGAAAGTGAGCTTCCAAGGAAACTCCGGACGCAAGACAAGTCGAGTCGCGCCGATTCAATCAAGCCCGCTTCCTTTTGAATAATCCAATACAAAGACCAATGCTGTGGTTCAAACAGAAGGAAAGGCTGTGAGCAGTACAGTGGAGTATCAAAGCATTGGCATTTGGATTCGTTCACCTGAAAGCCGCGGGAAAATTCTGGGGACTTCCGGTCCTCCGGTCGTCACATCACAACCTCACAACCGAGCACTCACAACACAAATCAACAGTCAAGCAACCAATCATGCCTCGCTACTCATTCACTGACTTTGCCTTCAACATCCGCCTCGTGGAAGAGGCCACTGGTCGCAGCCGTCGTGTGGTGGTCAATGGAACGCCAGGAAATCTGTTCGTGGAAATCCAAGAGCTTGACCGATTTGGGACCGAGATTCTGCCCAGCTCAGACGATGACAGCTCAGTGGAAGAAGTCGCCCCACCAGCTCGCCCTCCTGTCAACCGTGGAGGGCAAGTTGAATCCATCTTGGCCAACCGCCAAGCCGTGGTTGATTTTCTCAACAGTATGTGGATCGAGTACCGAAATCTCCGGCATCGTGCAGGAGGACGAAGAAGAAGGAACCAACAATGGAACCAACAACGAGGCCGATGAAGACGTGGTGGAGGAAGACTTGGAGGCAGAAGTCGAGTTCATTGGAAGTCGCCTTGATCGCAGCGTCAATCTCCAAGACAGTGACACCAGTTCCGACTACTCCGCAGCTGTGGGATTCTCTCAAGAGCCATTTGCCGTCGCCTCCATTGTCCCTGTTGTCCCTGCTCGCAACTCCCGTCGTATTGCTCTCCGTCGTAGCCAGCGCCAGCGCAAGTAGTTGAATGATGCGGCGTCTATTATCCCATTGTGTTGGTTGGATTGTGCTCGGTGCTTTATTTGCGATTGTGTGTCTATTCGAATCAATCGCTCCTCGCTGCTGCCATCAAGAATCCAAAACGTAACTCTTTAAATCTTTATTAACTGAAATTACTGATCAATATTTTTACTATCATATTTGAGTACATTTTTGAGTTCTTGGGATGTCTTGATCCGTCTTGATGACGTGTTGGATGCAGCCAGCCGCGCTCTCCAATTCATTGATTCCCACAATTTTGCACGAATGTTCCTCATTTTCAGTTGCTGCTCTCACTGTTGCTGCGCCAGTTCTGAGAGCATCGGAGGCGCTCATTGCAATCATCATATCTGTAGAAGTGGGGTATTATGGCGTGCTCTATCTTGTTTTAATTGGTAGTCTTAAAGGTGTGGCGACCGCTCTCATCGGCTCGCATCGGCTCGCATCAACGGTCGGCACGGAATTCGAAGTTTCGAAGTTTTGCATCGTGGGAGCTCATTGCTTGCTTCGAACGAAACCAATAGGTCAATCCAACGATGGTGAAAAACAAACGCCTTGGTACCGGCTCAAAGGTCATCTTGAAGTCTCAGAAGTCTCCTGCAATCATTCGAGAAGCAACTGGTCCTAAGCGATGGAGAGTTGAGCTTTGTGACCCGGGCAATGGGGAGCCACAAAGATGTTTGTAGAATTGACCTCCCAAATGTTGAGGCACCCAAAAGAGAAGGAATTTCCTACCGCTGACCAGGACAATGATGCAAGTGATGAGAACAGCGAGAATGCTGCTCCAGCAGTGGCCAACAACGAGTCGATCGAGGTCCAGGCAAACGATGACATTTCTGTTGGTGGCAACTCTCAGAACGATATAGCAACAGCTGACAGCTCTTCTTCCGAAGAGGGGGTTGGAGAAGAAGCACCGCAAGAGGCTGAACCGGAACCAGAACCAGAACAAGAACAAGTTGTGGAAGCAAACCCTCCTTCTGACGATGATGAGGAGGACTCCCACCCAGATGACGCGATCGAGGAAGATTTTCCATTCTTTCCTCAACAAGATCAGGAAGAGATTCGTGTTTTCAATGAAAGCGACTTCCTAGCTGCAAGAGGCATTGAGACGGACGATGACAAACACAAGCAAAAGATGGCCCAGTATCAGCTGGAAAAGCAAGCATTGCTGGATGAAGGCTGGAGTGTTGAACGCAAAGCACCCAAGAAGCAGAAACTTGGGATCGGCGAGAGAGTCAAGGAAAGATCAGGCCAAAGAAGATCTGGATTTATTGTGGGGGATGATCGAGATGCAGATTCTGATGGGCCAATGTGGTCGGTTCATTTTGACGGTGAAGACGTTCCTGTTGCCGACGTTTCCTCTCGCAAGTTGACGTTGATCAAGGATACTCGCACGTTCACCTGGACGATTATTGAGGACTCAACACCTGATCATCCTGTGCAGGATGTTGCCCAGCTTGGTGTTGCTGGATTTCAGTTCAATCGGGCCTTCGAGGATGCAGAAGCTACAGCAGATGATCCAACGTACAAGTTTCCTTTCCTCTTGCTATTAATGCATCTTTGGCCAGGCGACTGGCGGAAGCAACTGAACAATCTTAACGTTGCAATTGAATCGAAGAACGAAACAACGAATGTTCGGCACCAAAAGAAGACAAAGATACGTCCAGTGTCGGAGCAAGAATGGTGGATTATATGGGGGATTATCATTGTCGCCTGCCCATGTCGAAGAGGTGGAGAGAAACTGTTTCAATCCAAGCAACCAAAAGGTCGAATTGCCCCAGTTATTGACATATCCATTGACAGGGCCAAGTTTGATGAGGTAACCGGAGCCAAAGGGAAGCCCAAGATCACTTGGAGTCGATTTAAACAAGTCAAGGAGATGATTCATAAAGCGTTTGATGATGGAACCAACGACGACGACCCATATCACCCCATTATCCAACTGGTTGATGCCTTTAATGCCAACCGAAAGCGAGTCGTTTGCCCTTCCTTCATTCGGGTGCTCGATGAACTGATGAGTGCTTTCCAACCAAGAACAACAAAGCTATCGCTTCTTCCATTCTTATCTTTCATCTTTCGGAAGCCACAACCTCTTGGAACAGAGTTTAAGTGTGCTGCATGCATTCGCACTGGAATCATGATATACCTTGAAATCCAGCGTGGAGCGAATCCAATGAGACTGCAAGCTTTCCACGCAGATGTTGGAGCAACAGCAGCATGCTCTCTTCGACTTACCCTTGGTGGCATGCATTCAGGATTGGCAAGCAGAAACCGGCAAGAGCTTCAGCAACAAGAGAAAAGCCATTTGATTATTGCCGACTCCTGGTTCGGAAGTGTCAAGCTCGCAGAAGCAATCAAGCTCCTCCGAAAGACGGATACTGCCGACGCGGACCAGCCCAAGATTGACAAGCACAACTCCTTCGAAGGATATTTCATTGACAAGAAAGCAACCTCCAATCACTCCAGGAAGGGCCATGAGTTGATTGCTGCGGTCAAAACCAACAGCGGATGGTTTCCCAAGAAGCAGATTGAAGAAAAGATGAAAAACTGGCCCGCTGGTTCGCATCTTGTCATGGAGTGCAAGACGCCACACAACAATGTGGATCTTATTGCAATTGGATACAGATACAATGCGAAGAAGACTCTTTGCTTTGTCATGACCAAGGATGCTGGTTCCACGCTCAGTGGTGCTCTATACAAAGCAAAATTCCCTGATCCGTATGGCAATGTGAAGGAACGCCATGTCTTCCGACCAGACGTATTGTCGAATTATTTTGAGGGCAGCAACGTTATCGACATGCACAATCACGCCCGTCAAGGAATCTTGAAGCTTGAAAAGCATTGGCACACTCCCAATCCGTGGCTCCGTCATTGCATGTCGATTATTGGCATTACTGTCATCGATGCGTGGAAAGCATTGCTCTTTCGACTTCCGCAGTGCACTACGCTAAAAGCTAGTGTAAAGATCTTTCGAGTATTTTGAGTTTGAGAGAATGAAAGTTATGAGAGAGATTAGAAAGCTATGAAAACTTATCAACGAGAGAGATCATCATCAAAGGATCGTAGATCTGGCTTCCCGCGGGAGACTATAAAGTGTGATAGAGTAGGTTGTGGTAGTAGTCCTACGTCTCTCCACGATCCTAAAACGGAACGCGTGGAAGGTTTGTCTAGCCTGGATCTAGTAGCGTGGAAGTACTCCACGCTGTTAAATATCTAGAGCGATGTTTCATCATCAACCTAGTATGACTAGCGCGGTCATTGAGAACCCTGTCTCAATAACTATTCACGAGAGACTCAGTCATGAGTCGAACTCAAACCCTATCTAGGATCGAGTCGCGAATAAGGCTAAGAGCCGTGTATTGCATTCGCCCCTGACAAGGGTCACAGAAGGCGCGACAGCAGTCGGACAAGGAGAACATATGATTTAAAGTGCGGGCACTCTCATGAGATTTGGATGTAGACATGTGCGTCGCACGATGGCAATCCTACAAGGGGATCAGGCCTTGTATGGTGTATATACCTTATGTTCAAGTCTGGTAGACTGTGCCGCCGTTGGCGGTAGCATGTTGGAGCCGTACAGTGCATTGTCATTGACTCGGTTATAGTGTAAGGACCTTTGTATTTGGTTGACCGTACTTGCGGTGCTGATACTGTTGAATCATCACAGTATCGTTGACATTGTATTATGAGGGACACGCTGGCGTTTTCCCTTCGTTGTTTTGTTGGATTAGTCGTTGCGACGTTCCTTAATGTACTTCCAGTTGGCTTCGAACCGGACGTTGTAGAATCGCGTCACGATTGAACACGAGCTGTGCGGGCGTGCACGCAAGGTGGTATGAATCGTGGCATTCATTGCAAACGAACCGCCGTGAGGACTCCATCCCAGATCCATTCACGAGGTCGCTTGGCACTTGATGTTTTGAACAGCGATCAAGTTACGTATGTTTTGATGAGCACGCTCGACCATAGAGTTGGCTTGAGGGTTACGCGTGGTGATGAACTTGCGACGAAGTCCATATTCATCCCGGAGTGTCTTTCGACCTCTGCGCGGAACTCACGTCCTCTATCCATGATAACCTCAGCAGGCCATGGATACCGAGTAAGCCACGTTTGTTCTAGGACGATGGCTACTCGTCTGCTGCCTTGGAGCAGATTCTGCAATCTCGAACCATCCGTTACGGGATCAATCATTGTCAAGCAATGAAGTGTGCAGGAATTCTTTTTCTTGGGATCCCCGACGTTGTAAGGCCTATCAGGTCAATACATAGCTTTCCCAAGGGATCTCCTCGCAAGTCTTTGGAGGCATCAATCCCAGCTTACGCGTCTTGGGTTGTTCATCTGGCAGCTTTGGCAACGCTGACATACGGCTGCACAGTCTTGCGCAGCCTTTCCAGGTGTATGTTTGGCTGATGGTTAGTTCCGTGCGAGTCCCGCCAGGATGCATCAGCACACCATGGTCCATTCAACTAGCTTCTTCTGCATAGTTTTAGGTACGACGATTTTCTCGTCCTTGACTACTAAGTCGTAGGACTTATCCCCTCTGGGAAAAGATTGCTTCTTGTAGTCGTTTGCTTGTCCCTGAGGAGCTTCTTGATATCGTTGTCGTCTTTCTGACGATGTTCGATCTCGGGAACGAGAGAGGGAACTACTAGGGAAGTCCTCTTCGTCTGCACCATGAGTCAGCGATCTCGCTGGCGTCATCTGTTCTGAAGACCGTGTTGTTGGAGATGTAAGTCTCGACAACGCATCAGCGACGATGTTCTGTTCGCCTTGATGTACCGTAGTTCAGGGCCGTATTCTTCCAGAATAAGGCGCCATGCATTACGCGATCGGTATTGAAGTCTTACATGTAAGATTCTTGTGGTCCGTATGTACAACGATCTTCTGTCCTAGAAGAATGTTACGGATTCTTTCAGAGTTTCTACGATATGAGAAGTTCCTTCTCGGTAACTGTGTAACGTGTCTGAGCAGGGTTGAGCTTCCTGCTGTAGAACGCGATAGGTTTTCCCTTCTGGGAAATTACCGCACCTAGTTGAGTATCACTCGCATCCGTGTGGATAACGAATGTATCGTTGAAGTCAGGGTAGGCGAGCAAGGTTTCTTTGCTGATGATCTTCTTCATCTGCTAAAGGCCTTGTCGTGTTCGCTTCCCATTTCCACTTCGTTGTTTTGGAAGTCAACGAAGCGAGTGGGCCAGTACATGTGATCGTCTAATCCACATGTCTCGATATAGTTCACTAGTCCAATGAATCTACGGAGTTCCTCCTGTTGGTAGGAGAGCGATATTCTTGATCGCGTCTATTTTCTTGGTTATAGGTTGGATCCCTTCTCGAGTAATCCAGTAACCTAGGTACTCAATTTCTCCTCTTGCGAAGAAGGACTTGGTAGCATTGATCTTGATCCGGCTTCTCGAAGCCTTCGGAGAACTTCATCCAATTTTTCAACGTGATCTGCTAGATCGCCGTTAGTTAGGATGATAGATCATCAATGTATGCAGGACGTATTCTAGGTGTGTTAGTGTTCCCATCTTCTCTTGGAAGATGTCGGGACTATTACATAGGCCCATTGGCAACCTCTGGTACTCGTACTTTCCCCACGGGATACGATGGTACAGAGTTGCTTCGAGTGAGGTGACAGCTCGATGTGATAGTATCCCATGTTCAGGTCTAGACTAGTAGCGATTTGAATCCGTCTAGATTAAGAGCATGTCCTGTATTTTTGGGATAGGATAAGGCTTCCGCTTATCCTTTTGTTCAGTTCCCGAAATCAGAGATGAATCGACAGATCCGTCTTTCTTGGGAATGATGAAAGTTGGTGCCGCCCACTCGGAACGGTTTACCTTTTGAGTACTCCTGCCTCAGAGACGTTCACCTCCATCTTAAGAGTGTTGGTATGGACCCGTGGAATAGGGTAAGCCCTTGCATGATAGGTTTAGCATCAGGGAGAAGTTCTACTTCGTAGTCGTCCACTGCCACTTTCCCAAAGTACATCGAATAGGTCAGAGTACTTCGTAAGTAAGGAGTGAAGCTGTCCTTCTCTTCCGTGTTTACTGATTTGACTTTGGCAAACCTGCCTAAGTAGCTTGTTCGTATTTCGATCAAGAATCTTCTTGGACGATCTGACTGTCATCGAAGCGGCAGGATCAGGAATGAAAAAGTTTTCTTCTTCATTGGTGTCGCTATCTTTCATAGGAATAGATGCCCGTCCCATTCCACTGACATGGTAGTGAAATCGAACTTGAAACCTAAGTCAGAGAGAATATCTGACCTTGATCATGTCATACGCCCCAAGCTCTTGGTGACGTGTAAGTCCCACTCGATAATTCATCTTCGTGGAATTCAGGAATCATGAATGCACCTTGCACTTCGTGCTGGTGTTAATTCTCCTGCAGGGTAGTCCACATCGTTTGGACGCCCCCAAGATCCTTCATGCGTAATTTCTTAGCATGAGGTTGAGCAATCAAGTTCCGATGCTCCTGTATCCAGCAAGCAACGGAGTGTAACGGGTTTTGGTTTCCCTTTTTCTCGCTTGTTAAATCTAACATAAACGATGGGTTTGAGGTCCTTTGTCTTGCGACGTTTACGAGGTGGTTGCCACGGACGAGGTTAACGATGCTAAATAGTCATCAGAGTCTAGTTGAGCAGCTTCTAGGCAATCATCTAATTTGCCGTAGAGTTCATCAGTTGCAAACAATTCTTGTTTACTAGTTAGTGGAATATCTTCATCACTTTGGTATGAGAAATCGGAACAGGGTTCCGTTGAGTCATCATCCTGGCCTAATCCTCAGATAGAGATTTCTCATCCAAGTGTTAAATTGATAGAGGAGTTGTCCTATTGTCAGAGTTTCTGATTTGCGCTTGGCAACATGGTTGCGAAGTTTGCAAGTGGTGGCACGAGTTCGTCGATCTCGTGTTCTTCGTCATTGTCGACGAGAGGAAGAAGGGTTTGTCCGCAACTGTTTCTCAAGTTGCGGAACGCATGCTTTCCTTGAGCCATCTCATGGTGAAGGAATAGGTTGAGGGTAGCTGAAAGCTATTGGTTTGTTAACAAAATGCACTACGCTAAAAGCTAGTGTAAAGATCTTTCGAGTTTTTGAGTTTGAGAAAATGAAGTTATGAGAGAGATTAGAAAGCTATGAAAAACTAATCAACGAGAGAGATCATCATCAAAGGTCGTAGATCTGGCTTCCCGCGGGAGACTATAAAGTGTGATAGAGTAGGTTGTGGTAGTATCCTACGTCTCTCCACGATCCTAAAACGGAACGCGTGGAAGGTTTGTCTAGCCTGGATCTAGTAGCGTGGAAGTACTCCACGCTGGCTAAATATCTAGAGCGATGTTTCATCATCAACTAGTATGACTAGCGCGGTCATTGAGAACCCTGTCTCAAATGACTATTCACGAGAATCAGTCATGAGTCGAACTCAAACCCTATCTAGGATCAAGTCGGCGAAATAAGGCTAAGAGCCGTGTATTGCAGCAGCTCTACAGAAACATGTCGGTTGAAGAGTTTGCAGACAGGCTTGCCTATGATTGCTACAACAACACCTTCAGCGCTGGAGCAGCCGCATCAGTTTCCGAGGATATTGTTGCAGATGGTGCCGATGAAGCTTCCACGATGTCGAGTCGAGCGGCAGGTTTCCCTGGAGCCATCTTTGGCATGGAGCGACGCCTTCACGACATGACAATCGACTGCTGCGGGTCATACAATCACAACCCTTCTCCACTATCGGCCGGAGGTGAGTTTCAGTTTGAGCATCGCGGCAGACGAGTTAACAGCGGCCACGACCAACAAGGAAGGTGCTTGTAGCATGACGCCGTGCCACAACGGTTCAAAGACTCCTCGAACAAGCCCGGAAAGCGAAGATGCATTGTCTGTGGATACGACACACGCAATGAGTGCTCCCATTACTGGTGCCGCGGAACAGAGAAGACACTCAACAGAGTAACGTACCATGGTGTGCCAATCTGCAGCAATCAAGCCGCGTTGCGGAAGAATATACCCAAGCTCGGCTTGAGGGGCAACACAAAGACTTGTATTCAAATCCACAGAGAGCAGTTTGAACGTCAAGACCGTCAACATGGTAGTCATTGAAGAGAGGACAGAGGAGAGGATCTATCCGAGTAGCGTTATCTCTATCCAAGCGGCATTATCTTGATATCCAGTTGATGATCCGCGGTCCACTCGAAAACAACAAACAACAACAAACTATACATGAAAACCATAACAATCAGCTACTATAACCGACCTGTATTATCAACACATCGTCTACTCTCACTGTTGTCACCATTTGGGGCCGCTGGAGCATCCTTCGATGGCCATGGTCGCCATTCAAAGAGGAAGGACCAGCGTCAGCAAGATGCCTCCGATGGTCCGCGGAATGAGGATAAGCCTGCGGATCGGATATTTATCCGCGGAAAGCTGCGAGGCACTAGAGCATGGTTGTCCATGGGCTGAATTCACATGCTATAAAGCTGCTGCAGGTGGTCATTTGGAAATTTTAAAGTGGGCCCGTGAAAATGTTTGTCCATGGAATGCATCAACATGTGTTTGTGCTGCTCTAAATGGCCATTTGGAACTCTTAAAGTGGGCCTGTGAAAATGGTTGTCCATGGAATGCAGATACGTGTGCCTCTGCTGCCGAAAATGGACACTTGGAAATTTTAAAGTGGACCCGTGCAAATGGTTGTCCATGGGATGAATTCACATGTACCTATGCTGCTGCAGATGGCGACTTGGAAATCTTGAAGTGGGCTCATGAAAATGGTTGTCCATGGGATGAACAAACATGTACGTCTGCTGCCGAATACGGACATTTGGAAATTTTGAAGTGGGCTCGTGCAAATGGTTGTCCGTGGGAGGTAGAGACATTTTATGCTGCCCGCAGGAATAACCAAATCGAAGTGATCCAGTGGCTACATGACAATGCCTGCCCTGGGTCTCATGATTGAGGACACTAAGTAGGAGAGATCAGTAAAAGAATAGAAATCATGTACCATTTTCCCCTCCTACTAGGAAGTCCAGTATAGTTACAAGCCCAGTAGTTCCAAGTCCAAACAGTTCCAGAAGAGCAGTTGGTTTAACCGGCTTACTTGCCCTTCATGGAATGGTTGGCCGCAGGTCACAGGAATGAAACTGCTTGCATGGGGGTGAATATCAGATGCCTGAAGTCGAGCTTTCAGCTGCATCCGCTGGTGGCCCTGTTGACTTAGTTAGTGCAGTGGGTTCTGTGTTGTCAAGATCAAGCACTCTACCGGTACATGTGGCGGGGGGTCAGACAGGAAAGGTAGGTGTGGAGGGATAAATTGCTAAGTTTGCTATGCTACTAGCAAGCTACATGTAACGTAGAAGTTAGGACTGTAGCTGGCTAGTCTTTTGATGGATGGATGCATGCATGATGGATGGATGCATGCATTGGGATTCATTGAACTGGCCATGAATAGCTACGAGAAACAACCAAAAGAAAACGCTGCATACAAAAACTCGCAAGTCTATTTTTTTTAAAACAGATTCAGACATGAGGTCTTTGCAGGCGACCAACTGGCTGACCCCGAAGGATCAAGGAATTCCGAACCAACAAGTCTGCTCACCTCTGCATCCAATGCGAACTGACATACAATGGATCGCGTACGTATTATTGCAGCCATGTAATAAGTCCACTCTGATCCCAACCATCTTGAGGCATGACCGTATTTCAAAGTTAGTTGAGACGGTATGATATCAATTAGGCGTTGACAAAGTCGAGAAACTTTTTGAGCTTTTCCCTGTCGGACTCTTCGGAAACTCGAAATGATTTGGTAATGTCTCCGTCGGACATGCTCACAGACTTGAGCGGTATTACATTGTTGTTGCTGTTGCCGTTGTTGTCTTCGGATGCAATGGCAGTGGTTTGTCCGCAAAACGGGCATTTATCGGCCTCGTTGTATTGGAGGGTGCCATCGGGAAACAAGTACGAATCACTACTCGTGTTGTACGAATGGGCAAACAAGTCAAAGTCACCACCCCATGTCCGCTGCAGCACGCTGCGACGACGTCTGCCACCACCGGATGCCTGAGGGAATGCATTGTACGGATGCTGTTGTTGCCGCACGTATACGTGGAAGCATTTTGAGCACGTGGAACAGTCGTCCTCGCCTGGCTGGATATTAGTTTGGTGGTTGTTGTGGTTGTTGTTGTGCGTATCCATCGGATGCGGTTGCAGTTCCGACAGTTGAAGCTGTGTTCCAAACTGATCGTTGAGAAATTGTACAATGTGCATTGGTTCCAAAAGCCACGATTCAATCTCCCCCAACGACACTTGAATGGCTTTCAAATGTTCCTTCAAGACCAACAGGAATAGAATCAAAATATCATCTTGTAGCAAAATGGCCCTGGACAAATAGTTCTCATAGTCGGGGAGAACTTGTTGATTGGCCGTAGTTGCCTGTGGGATGGGGATAATGTCATTAAGAACCGTCGAAAGCTTTTGAGAAATGGTAAAGGCTCTCCTTGCCACTTCCGATTTGGTCTGAAATTTGAGCATGGGACTGCCCTGCAAAAGTGGATTGGTGTAGGAATAGACGGGCTTTGTCGTCGTGACTTCTACCACTTCAAAACCCAACCGATAAAACTCTACTTGATTCGTCGCTGTTGTAGGATTTGGTTGTTGTTGCTGTTGTTGCTGCCGAGGAAGCTTGTGGGGCAGACACCGTTGCAAGATTTCTTGGTTGGTTTTGGCAAGAGCCAGTGTGCTGCTGATGAGTTTGTTCCTGTCTTCTTCTTGATCCAACCATTCGGCTGCTTTTCGGAGTCGGCCAATGATAGCCTCGCGACCGTTCTTTACAAATGCTTCCGAGCCGTCTTCTCTTGACGCATCATCAGTCATTCGCCATTGTCCTGCTTTGTGCCTCATCTTACAGAAACTAACTGCTATCTAGTACAGAATTCTCGTAGCTAGAAATAATCGATATCTAAAGGTACCGGTAGTGTGTTCTTTCAAAAAGAGAGAAATTGCAGTTGTGTTCGTCAATAAAACTGAGCAACCAACCTGCTTCAATGGTACCGGTATCTTCCCTCCAACCAATCGAGTTTGTACCACAGACAGTACTGGTATGGTATCAGAAACAACAAATAAATCAAGGTCGCAATGTATGCATAAAGGCAACAGCGACCCTCGCACAGAACATTGGATCTTTTGGCTTGATGATGACGGATTGACAGGTGTCAATGATTCGGCCGCCTTGCAAACAAACCACGGTAAGGCTGAGGTTTTGACAAGCTCCACGGTGTGCTCGAACGTGGAAAATAGCCCAGCGAGAGTTGCCTTTCAACATCCCTCCAATAACCTATGACGTGTTGGCGGATATCTCTACTGGCAATAGAAGGAGAATGCAAATGCTTCCTTACTCATCCATTGAACTAATTAATCTACCAATACCGCACCGTATTCACGTCGTCGAGGCAACTCTTAACAGACAGACGCAAATTCAAGAAACTTCTCGAGCTTGACCCGTTCTGATTCTTCGGAGACTTTGAAAGACATTGATATTTCTCCAACAGGCATACTCACTGATTTCAGGTTCCAGGACTCTGGTTTAAAGTAGGACTCCTGCGTACAGACTTGGGTGCTTGGAGTCTGTTGGGTCCCTGCATTTGCCGTACCCAGGCCGCCCCCGCCAAAGAGAAGGAGTTCCGCTGTAAGGGTACCGGTATGGCGAGGCGTGGACCCGACATAGCCGGAGCCATTGAAATTGAACACCGGCGCTGCGCTACGGCGAGGCACATGCTCAGCCTTGGAACGAAAGCACTTCAAGCAGGTTAGAGGTACTGGTGCAAGGAGTTCAGTCACTGCCCCACCCAATGATCCCTGATAATGTCCAGGCACCTGCAGGTGTACTCCAAACTGGTTATTCAGAAATTGTACCACATGGACTGGTTCCAAGTGCCATGAATCAATCTCTCCAAGAGCAACTTGTATGGTTTTCAAGTGATCTTTCAACACAACAAAAAAGAGCGACAAAATGTCATTGTGCAGCATGGCTGTCTTGGAGATGTAATCTTCATAGTTGTGTAGAACTTCGTCTGGTGAAGTGATGCCAATGGGAAGAATGTCACTGAGCACTGAGGGTAGTTCTGTAGGGCTCTGAAAAGGTTTCCTGGAAATCCCAGACTTCGTGGTGAAGTGAAGAAGTCCACCGTTGCTACCGGAAATCTCGGACGGAGTGTTAAAGTTTGGATATCCACCATTGCTACCGGCATAGACCTTCACCACATCGAAGCCCAGGCGATAGAACTCGAGACTGTTTGTGGCCACACCTTGTACAGAAGATTGAGAAATCTTGTGGGGAAGGCAGCGCTGTAGAATCTCATTGTTGGTTTTCACGAGAGCTATAATGGTAGTAATGAGCTGATCGAGGTCTTCCCGATCCAAGTGTTCAGCAGCTGTTTGGAGCTTACCGACGGCAAGCTGCCTTGCTTGAGCCAAAGATGCTTCTGCCATGGCCATAGAGGGTGGGCAGGTATACCGCTACCTTTGCCTTGTTTTTGGGCTGCGTTATGACCATGCCTGGCCAACTTGCCCCAGGTTTTGAAGAGAAGCCCGAAGCCTGCTTGAGTAAGAACCAACCCGGCCAGCTCGCGCTAACAATAGCATCCTGTCCTTTCAGATCGGAAACCACTCGTTGATGTCCGTATTGTCGATGCCAAGGTTCCACGGTGGTGCTGACCTGCACGATTTCATATTATCCTTTGCGATAGAACTCCACCCCATTCTCATGCTGCTTCGGAACTTTAGAAGGAGGAAAACGCTGCTTGCTGGCTTAGAGCAAAGCACGTGCGCTGGCGATCAGGGGTTCCAGGTCTTCATGGTCCAACTCTTTTGGAGCTTTTAATGGTGGCATTGCGTAGCTCATTGCGTAGCTCATTGCGTCCTGTATGCAAGAACCCTTCGGGACTCTCTGAGGAACTGGCACTCTCGCCTTTTTCTTCCTTCTTGCAATGTATATTGTCTCTTCTCTGGTCCTTCACAGCTTCGCAGCTCCGTCGTGTTTTTTTCCGACGAGGGCCACCGCACACGTTGCTTCGTGGTTCGACCTCAAAAGTGATAGATCACGAACGGGACTACCGGTACAAGTATCCACGTTTGGCTCCAGCAACGAGGAGAAAGTTGAGGGGCAACAGATCTCGAGCAAAAGAAGTACGGTAGCGGTGCTGTACCATCAATTCATCGTGGGGGAGCAAGAGGCAAAGTGGCGACGTTCGGTCCGGGTTTCGTTCTGCGGTTGCTTCGGGAAGCAACGACGTTTGACCTGGGTTTGGTTGCCTCAGTTGCTTCCAGAATCCAGAACAGCACACATCAAAAAGAAGAGAGCACGGAGAAGAAACAAGCATCATGGAGACCGCCAAAGAGCAAATTCGCCTCACTATAACGAATGGGGTACAGAGCAAGCCACTCGTGATGCAAGCTAGCAAATGCACCATCGCACAGCTCCTGAAGGAGGGAAAGAACAAATTCCGCAAAAAGTTCCAGTACGTAGCCTACGGCGCCCAAGCGGTGCAGACCGAAGCCGATTTGTTGATGGTTCTGGAGAACCGTGAAGGCCCATTGACCTTGTTGTTGACCAATACAGAGCCAAAAGGCTCGGATGGACCATTGGTGGTAGCCAAAAAGGCTAGAGGAATATCCTACATTGTGGCCAATGAAGATTCCATTGAATCGGATGCAGAAGCACAGCTGAAGCTCGCGTCGGAATTGGACGGCTGCGTCTTTGCCATTGGTATGCCGGATCTCCACCCCGGAAAGGGTATTCCGATTGGCGCCGTGGTCATGACGCAAGAAAAGATTGCCTACCCGCAATTAGTGGATAACGATATTGGTTGCGGAATGAGCTTCATCGAGACTACATTGGCACAAGACAAACTGAACATCAACAAGCTACAAAAGCTGGCAAGTTCTCTGGAGAGTATAGACTGTCCCTATGCGTCCCCGGAAGAGCAAATGGAAATGTGCAGCAAGAAGCTTGCATGGGGCCCCAACAAAACCACCTTGGAGCCGCTTCCCCCACTACCAGACAGGTATCACTACGACAACCTTGGCACCATTGGTGGTGGCAATCATTTTGCAGAGCTACAACAGTTTGATGAAATCTTTGATGCAAAAGGGATTGAACAGTACGGCATTGATACAAAAAAGGTTCACCTCTTGGTTCACAGTGGTAGCCGTAGCCTTGGAGCTTTCTACCTCAGAGACTTTTGTGACAAAGCAATGAAGGAAAGCACTGATCACCAAAGCGGTCATTACGGTGTAGCGACAGATTCGCAACTCTTTCATGAGTATCACGCAAACCATGAGATTGCCCTGAACTACGCGGCTCGCAATCGCCAGCTCATTGCTCGGCGACTACTGGAGCAGATTACACCTGGCATAACGCAGCAACAGGAGGAAGAGCCCTCAGAGCCCTCGTTTAATTGCAGGATTGACATTTTCCACAACTACATGGAGAAGCTTGAGGTTCCGTCCATCGATGCCATGTCCAAAATTGCAGCTCAGGGGCAATTTCCCAAATCCATTGCGCCAGCACTCAACGATAGCAGCGAGGAAGCTGTAGCGGGCTGGATTCATCGCAAGGGAGCCACGCCCACCAACCAATCCAAGGTACTGGTGATTCCTGGCTCTCGAGGGGCGCTTTCGTACCTGGTCGAGGTCAACGAGGGCGCGGCGCACGGAAGCGGATACAGCTTGGCCCATGGGGCTGGTCGTTGCATGAATCGGTCCAAAGCGCTGGCAAAACACAAGAATCAATACCCCAATGCACGGCAACTTCTTCAGACAACTTGGGAAGTGTTGTCGTTTGTGACAAGAAAGATTTGGTGTATGAAGAGGCACCGGCTTCCTACAAGGACATTGATGGAGTTGTGAAGTGCTTGTCGGAAGGCGTCTTGGATGATCAGGGGAGGGGCATTGTGAGGATACTCGCGACATTGAGGCCTCTCCTCACCTACAAGTATAAGGATCCATACAACTAAAGATGATAGAGTCGAGTCAACGACAATAGCACCGCCTTCTACTAGATAGTACTCAGGCGCTGTGCGAGGCGAACAGGAGAAGCGCGGCCAAAGCGCGGTCGACAAAAGCACCAACCGATCGGGACCCTTGTCGGCGTGACCCAACGCAAATCCAATTTCGCAAGGGACAAAATTTCCGTTGAAGAGAGAAAAGATGACACAACCTGAAGGGTTCTGCCGTTGTCCAGCAACTTAGACATCAAGGGCAAGTCTTGGTTACAACAACACTAGCCTCCATAAAGCCCAGCCATGGCGACGGAGAAGGAGACTGAAGACTTACGGCTTCAACGTACAGGAGAACCGAGTCTCCAAGGGTCGGTACCCTTGGGCAATGATGATCCCAGTCCACAGGGGAAACAGCAAAAAGGATTGAGGCTTCCTCAACATCCAACTGATGCAGCCAACATGGCTAGGGTGGTGCCACTGGTGACGGGAGGGCTTTGTCACAATGGTAATGGTCGACGAGCAGATACCAGGGCTCATGCGCAAGACATGGAAGAAGGCAAGGAAGAAGAAAATATTGCGATTCCCTCCTTAGAAGAGAATATTGTGATTCCCTCGGAAGAAGACCAGCAACGCCAAGAGAACAGTGAAGGCCATCTGCAGGAGGACAAAGTGCAAGAACCAGATAATGATAGTATTGGTACAGACGACAACAGACAAGATAGTACTGGGAATGCTCACACAGGCGATCGGGAAAGTGTTCCAGGGGCAGTACCCTCGGGAAATGATGCTCCCAGTCCACAGGGGAAACAGCAAAAAGGACTAAGACGCCCTCAACAGCCAACTCATGCTGCCAATACTTCACGAATGACGCCACTGGTCAAGGGAGGGCTTCGTCGCAATGGTAATGGTCGACGAGCAAATGCAAGGGCAACCCCTGTGCAAGAAGGACAGCCATCGGGAGACATCGAGGAAGGCAAGAGACAAGAAGAAGATGTCCTCAATGTTACATCCAATGAGTATCGGCAGGAAATTTTTCATGGCGAAGAAAAGCAGCAACCAGAAGATGATGTGGATATCGCGAGTGGACAGGAGGATCGTGGATTCAATAATGACGAGGGAAATCCTCACTTGGCTGTTGCCTATCTGGTGGACGAAGAGGACGATGGCGAAAAGAAGGACGAGGATGAAAGTAAGGATGATGATGACAAGGTTGAAATAGTTGTGGCTGCACCTGTCAGGCAATCCTATTTCTGGCGGGCCGTGGCCATCTTGGCTCTCATGTTGGCGATCTTGGCTATCGTCCTCGGAGTTTTGCTTAGCCCAGGGGCCAAAATCCAAATCCATTCTCCACAACTTCTGCAAACCCGTCGCCTAAACCCTCAGTGGCACCAACAGGTGCTCCCTCCGTGGGTCCAACGGCTTCTGCAATGCCGTCATCAGATCCGTCAATGTTGCCCAGTCCAGTTCCAAGCCAAAGTCCTTCATTTCCAGGTTTGTCCACACAAGGTTGCCTCTGGAGGCTCCAATTTTTCATCATCCCTTTCTAACAGCGGGCGCCATTTGCATCCACACTTTATATTGTTAGCTGTGAACAGCTTTGCTGAACTCAAGGCAGCCGTAGATTCTGGTTTGTACAGTTTTGAGGAATCTCAATACGGAGCCATTGAGCTCTGGGACATCAGTCGAGTTCTCTCTCTGCAGGGCCTTTTCTTGGACAAGTAGGTCCTTTCTTTCTGTGGTTTTATTCAAGGAGCAAATAATAATCCATGGTTACTCACACAACTCTCCTTTCAATTTCAAGGGAGAACTTCAATGAAGATATCAGCTCATGGGGTACGTGCATGTTTTTCGCAGCCTGTTTGATTGGGTTTGCCAGCCCTAAAGTCTCTAATGTTTGATGTCAACAACCAAAGATACCAGTGGTGTTACCAGCCTATATGAAACCTTCAAGGGTGCAATTTCTTTCAATGGTGATGTCAGTTCATGGGGTAAGTGCACACCTCCATTGCTAGCAACCCTGTACTTCTTCTTGTGAATGCTGACAATATCATAACATAACAGATACCAGCCAAGTCACAACAATGTACTCTACCTTCTATGGCGCAACTTCTTTCAACGGGAATATCAGTGCATGGGGTAAGTCGATTACCATGCAAGCTCGCATCCAGAGTGCAAAATGTGCTTACCTATCCTGATCCTTTGCTGGACGACATAGTCATAAGTAGTGTCACAGACCTGCAAGGTTGTTTTAACCAGGTCACTTCCTTCAATGGTGATATTGGGTCTTGGGGTAAGTTCATCGTTGATCATCGTTGCAATTCCTAGGCACTATCCTGACGTCCATCTTTTGTCAAAACTGTAAGATACAAGTGCAGTGGCAGATATAACAGCAACGTTCAAATCATCTTATTTTAATGGTGATGTCAGTTCCTGGGGTAAGTCAATCAAGCAGTAACATTTTGACCTCATTTCTCTTGCATGTTCCAACCTTGCTTTCACATGACAGATACCCGCAGTGTGACAAGCTTGCGGCAAACCTTCAGTTATGCTACATTTTTCAATGGCGATCTCAGTTCCTGGAGTAAGTCAACTTGAGTTGTGCTGGTGGTGTTGTCCTGGTTCCCTTCTTAAAACTGCTCTACGCTTCATGCCAATGCTAGATACAACTAGTGTCACAAGCTTGCTTAATGCCTTCACTGGTGCAACCTCCTTCAATCGTAATCTCAGTTCCTGGGGTAAGTCAATACAGATCAGGCGAACATCCACTTCGGTGTGGAGCAAGTCCACCATGATTCTCTCTGACATATTATGCCTATTTCAAAAATTGTAGATACCAGCAAGGTCTCAAATCTTCATCAAACTTTCAATGGTGCAACCTCTTTCAATGGTGATCTGAGTAGATGGGGTAAGTCTCATCATGTTCACAAGCTTTTACCATTGCTACTGTTTGACATATTGTGCCCAGTCTTTTACCATTGCTGCTGTGACATATTCTGTGCATAGATACAAGCAGGATCACAACCATGTATGAAACCTTCAAGGGTGCAACCTCCTTCAATGGTGATCTCAGCTCATGGGGTAAGTTTCTCCATTGCAAGCAATCCTCGCTTTATGCCACCAACTCTTTGCTTATCCCCATCAAATGCTCAAAATGTCACACATACAAGCCATGTTGTGACGATGTTTTCTACCTTCTATGATACGAATTCTTTCAATGGGAATATTAGTGCATGGGGTAAGTCCATCCCCAAGCTGGCATAAGTTTGCAGGTTTGCAGTAGGCTTTAACCCTATAATGTTCTTGCTTGCTCGCTATGGTGGCTATCACAGACACAAGTAGCGTCGGGAGCTTTATAGGTTGTTTCAATAGGGCAAATTCCTTTAATGGCGATATCAGCTCTTGGGGTAAGTGCATCAATGCCATACTGCCTAATTCCCCAAATTTTCTGCTAAGGCAGAGTCCTGACCTCGGTCATTTCCCACGTTTCAGATGTGAGTGCAGTTACAAGTATGGATGCAATGTTTAAGCTCTCCTGGTTCAATGGGGATATCAGTTCCTGGGGTAAGTCATCCTAGTCCACAATGTAGCCTTCATTTGCTGGGAGTTCTTCTCATTTTCTTGCCAATATTTGCATTGCCAGATACCAGTCGTGCAAGAAACTTTGGTCAAGTTTTCTATGGTGCAGCCTTTGACGGTGATCTCAGTGCATGGAGTGAGTCAATTAATCTATCTTTGTTTGGCAGACCTTTGGGGAATTTCTGGTCCTGAACTTTTCTTCCTCTCTTGAACAACCCTAGATACTAGCAGTGTTACAACCATGGAAGGAACATTCTTTGGAGCGACTTCTTTCAACGGTGATCTTTCCAACTGGTATGTTGAATGAGTCCAGCCTGTGAGATTGTTCGGTCCACTCGGACCAAGCCGTTTGCTGATGTGAATGTTCTCTTTTGCAATTACTTCAGGGATGTTGCATCTGTAGTGAACTTTCACAGTATGTTTGAAGGTGCTTCTTCATTTGAAAATGACTTGTGTGCTTGGGGTACCAAGATCAGAGGAACACCTCGTGTCACCAATATGTTCACTAGAACATCCTGTCCCGAAGAGGCAACAGGCACAGACTTGGGAGCAACTCCTAGAGGCCCCTTCTGCCATTTCTGTCCATAAACCAGCCTTTGTCATTGAACCAAAATGTAGCTAGTCTGCCTTGCTTCTCCTAGCTAACTAGAAAGGTTGCCCCTGACTACCGATACTGCAGTGGTTGCCAGAAATCATGTGGGGTTCTGTCTTTTTGGATCTGAGACGTGAGATGTCCAATTCTATGTGTTGCTTGTACTGGTAAGGGGGGTCTATTAGAGAAATAGTTTAAGCCGACGGGGGATCGCTTTGGCAAAGAAAGGGTTGGAATTCGGGACTGACTCGACTGTTCTACCGTCCAGCCGGCCAGGTTTCCTCAGTAAGGGGGGACAAACTGAACTTTGAGGGGTGTTGCTTTATTAATATTGTTGGCCGAGCTGAGTCGAGTGACTCGGTCGGTCACTCCACACCTTCGGCGGTTCAACCGTCATGACGATCGAACGAGGTTGGCGCAGCATTGGGGGGTACATCCTCCTTCGTTCCCTAGTCCCTATCAACAATCAAGGCTCTCTCACACTAGCCAGCATCGAAGGAACCAAACAAGAAAACAGAAGAAAGCAATGAGTCAAGATTCAGAAGCAGGTGCCGATATCGGGAAATCGCTCCCCATGATTCTTTTTCGACCGGGCATGGACGTTGGCGAGCTGGAGGATTGGCCGTTTGAAAATCCCAAGTCGGACTACGTCGTTCATACCAACGAGGGAGGCAAGACGCCAAGGGCGTCAGGTCGGATTGACAGCTCCACTCCTACTTCTCGCGTGGGAATATGGAAATGCACGCAAGGAAAGTTTGAGTGCACTGAACAAGGAGATGAACTCATGACAATCTTGAGTGGTGTCGTCACAGTAACGAACATTGGATCTGGGCAAGCAGTGACATTGAAAGAGGGAGATTCAATGTTCAGCAGGGATGGTTCAAGGGTGTTGTGGGATATCCAAGAAGATGTGACCAAAGTGTTCTACGGAAGCAAACCAGATGGATACTAAATATTTGTCAGCTCTAGCTAGACAAGAATTTACCTCGAGCGACTTCACTCAATTGCAACTTTCCAACCACTCCGTTGGGGATTGGGGACATTGGCACTCAGTCTGGATTGGAAGCTTTCCAAGCAAACTGGTTGTGTCTCATTTCGAAAAAGGGTGATGGTGGTGGTGTTGATAAAGAGGTTGCTATAGTGTTGTGTGTGTTACTACTTGGTTGTTGTGGTTGTGGTTGATTTCTAGTAATCTGGTAACTGGATAGTCATAAATCGCTACCACAGGTCATTTTCGGTCCCCTCAAGCTAGAGGGGGATCTATCTCACGCTAGATTGCACTTGACATGGGAAAACAGACTTCGGAAGTCTGAAACAGGATGTACCCTTGGGGCAAGGCCCCTTGGAGGCTCAGACCTGCCGTTCACCAAACGGCCCACCCTATGGTCATGTTGCCTTTTTGCAGATTGTTAGTATAGGACTTTCGAAACCAGTCGCTGTCTCACAGGCCCGTTCTGGATCTTCGTCAACATATCGGCCAAATTGCTCTCTGTGT